AGGTATTATTGATATGGAAAGTAGTCTGTGCTGAACACTTATATTAAACATGTGTTCTTGAAGAGTTTTGCTCTATAAATTACTAAAGCATTTTTTGTTCAGAATTTTGTTCCTGCAGAAAACTGCATCTTGAAAGAGTAGCTGAATTTCTAATTTTGGTTTTTTATGTCTTGGCCCATTGGATGTCTTTGTGTATGAAGCCACATAAATGACACGTGAAAGGAGATCTCATTTACTTGTTGATTATTGTAAGAGGATAACGGACCTTTCAAAATTAATGCAGGAGTAAATAGCAAAAGATAACTAGGATACTCAAGTTGGATCTCAAAAAACTGACTCTCAATTTCAGGTTTCAGAGACCTCAGGAAGACTAATTACAAAATTTCATTAATGCCTATTTGTAAATCATTCTTAATGATATTGATTTTTTTTTTTTTTTTTTAATGCTAAGCCTATAGAAACATTGCAATTATAGGCTTGGATTACTAATATTGACTCGTAAAGTTAGCTCCTCTGGTTCAATTGACCTGATATTTTGGTCCTAATTTCATGGTGTTTAGAAATATAAGGGAATAATTGTAGTCCTCTAGTCTTGGAGGAAACAGAAATCTTATGGAATATATAAAGAAACCTTCATTTTGGAGTCATATAGCATCCGCCTGTATCAATTAAATTGCTGATTTGTTCCATTATTGGTTGGGAAATGCCCACAGTTAGGACGTTATACTTCTACCTTTTATAATTTTTAGAGTATGTATAATTATTGCGAACATAGTGATACCTTCCCAAATGTCTGTAGCTGGCTTAGTTTGTTGGAATTATAAAGTTACAACATTTCTATTTTCTGTTTGTTCATCTTAATTCTTACTTTTCTTGGAACAGGGTCTGACAGTAGTCAATATATCAGCAACAACATTTCCACAAACCTTGGATTGGCTGCATGGATATCTTCTTCAGGTTTACCTGTTTTCTTTTATAGTAAATATTCTGATTGCTTCCTTTTCCTGCAGCTTGTAAAAAGATGGGCAACTGATTTTGGCAATTTTTCTCGTTTATACTAAGAAAGCATGCTGCCATGGTATTCTTAATTTTTGATAAGAGACTATGAAAGAGGCAGTAATAATAAGAGCTATACAAAAGTGCCCAAAAATGTTAATCATCAAAAAATGACCAAAAGACCAGCCATAAGCTCCCAACAATCAAAATTAAACATGGCCCAAAATTCCTCGCACTTCATATAAATGAAGTGGAAAGAAAAATTTGAAGTTCTTTTGTCACCAATGTCCATGGGGAAGCTAAAATTCGAACACTATCCCACAATGAATGGATGTCTTCCTATTCGTTGGCTTAAAAAATTCCTCTATTTTTCTCTATCCAAATTACCTAAAAAGTTGCCAAAACATCACATTTCTTCAGAACTTTAGCTTTATTGTCTATGCTAAAAGCGTCTAAGAAGTGCAATGGTTTAATTGCGGTGTTGTAAACTTGTGATAGCTGAACTTGGATGTCAAAATTCATGTTACAAAAAAGCGTCTCTGGAATTTTATATTTATGTTATTGCTTGCTAGATAGGAATTCTGATTACTTGTTTGATATATTTTGGAATTTCACCTTTTATTAAAGGAGGGACTTCTAGATAAAAAATTTCCAATCGAGTTGCATTCATCTCTTCTCTCTGCAGTATTTGATTCCTGTCCTTCTTTTCCTGCTAAGATGTTGGTCATAGTAATTAGTTGCTTTTCTCACACCTTAGAATATTTTCCTTTAGTATTTTTAAAATGTTACTGTGGCATATGATAAATTGATTTTTCTTTGTTTCTCAATCAACTTATACTGATGTTCTTAATCTCTCATTGGTAATTGTTTTCATTATGCAGTGTATAGAGCAAGGCATTTCATCAGTGTCCAATGCAAACGGTAAACAGCCGGCAGAAAATTAGAAACATGCAGATCTTAGCTTGAGCTGTGACAGGTATGAAGACAGTTGATATTAGAATAGAAATTAAAATAAATAAATAAAAGAAGAAGATGCAGTGTTTTCTGAACGGACAGGTTGATAATAGAACTGTGATGATAAGATAATCTAATCCCTGAACCTCTCTGAATTTTAATGGATTGGCATGAGGGGTCACTTGAAACTAACCCTGGCCAACCTTTCGCTTAAATGACCTGTCTTTTCCTCTTTCCTTGTGTAAGTTTCCCTTCTGATATTTCTTACAGGCCTTGAAGGAGGAATGAACTTGTATGTGTGGTAAAGCAGCTGAATTTCAAAGGATTCGAGTGTCAGAAAGCAAACGGAAAACAAGTTCTTGAAGGACCTTGCTGCAGCCACGTACATAAGACTTCATGCAGTTCTATCTGAACACAAATCAATTCCAAGCTTCTTGCAAGGAGAACTTTCTTTCAGTTCCCTATAATTCATCTGCCCCAACCAAATTGTGGACTTTGGAGGAAGAAGGTGACCCTTAAAAATGAGTTGATAAATTATTTTTCTCTTTATGACACTTAATCTCCTAATGAATCCACAGATAATGAACACAGAGAGATAATATATGATGAGCAGATATACTTCATTTATTCTTCTTATTTATATGTAGAGCATGTGGCATGTGATTGCCATGTGTAAACAAGATTTATACAGCAATGAATAATCACAATTACAATATGAGAGTATATATATGATTTTTCTCTTTCTTTTGTACATCTAGATTTTTGGTCTTAAAAAGAGTTACCTGAGCCAAATTTTCGCTCAATGATATCATTTTTGAATCAATTTGTATTTCTAGGTCTAGGTTTAATGCTCATTATTTTTTAAGTTTTATTAAGTTAGGTTCATCCCAGGTGTGAGTAGAGACTTGAAAGATTTTTCTGGTCTTGGTTTTTCTTTTGTACATCTAGATTTTCGGTCTTAAAAAGAGTACTGAGGAGCTAATTTTTAACTCAATGATATCATTTTGCATCAATTTGTGTCCTAGGCCTAGGTTCAATCCACATTTTAAGTTAAGGTTCATTCTTGGTGTGAACACAAACTTCGAAGATTTTGGCCTTAAAAAGGGTACCTATGAGCCAATTTTTAACTCTCAATGATATCATTTTGGATCAATTTGTGTCCTAGGCCTAGATTCAATCGGTTAAGATCTCACATTGAAAGAGAAAATGCTAGGCATGTGGGTTATATAGGTTTGGGCACCCTTCCTTGGCAAGTCGGTTTTTCAAGGAGAGTTCTATCAAAGCCCATGAAAGACCCATGACTGAGCCCAAATTGTTGAGTTATTGGAGTGGGTTCCTATCAATTGGTATCAAAGCATGATTTTACGCCTATGTGGCAACGCACGCGTGGCAGGTTGACCTGTGGCAGGCTAACCTTGGGCCCGGGCTGCTACCCCGAGAAAGAGCATGGAGGCCCGAGGAAAAGGAGATCCGCGTAGTCACCCAAGGGGTAAAGAGGTCGACGTGGACGTAGGTTGCGGAAGCATGGTGGAATGTTAGGATCCCACATTGAAAGGGAAAAGGGTGGGTATGTGGGTTATAAAGGCTTGGACACCCTCCCTTCACAAGCCGGTTTTCCAAAGAGAGTTCTATCCAAGCCCATGAAAGACTTATGGCCTAGTCCAAATTATTGAGTTATCGGAGTGGGTTCCTATCAGAATCCATAGTTTTTTAAGTTTTATTAAGTTAGGTTCATTCCTTGTGTGAATAAAGGCTTGGAAGATTTTTCTGGTCTTAGTTTTTCTTTTGTACATTTAGATTTTTGGTCTTAAAAAGGTTAGCGAGAAGCCAAATTTCAACTCAATGATATTATCAATAATATCTTTTTGAATCAATGTGTACATAGGCCTAAGTTCAATGCATAGTTTTATTAAGTTTGGTTCATTCCTGGTGTGAATACAGGTTTGGAAGATTTTTCTGGTCTCGGTTTTTCTTTTGTACATTGGTCTTAAAAAGGGTGCTGTAGAGCCGATTTTCAAGTCTCAGTGATATCATTTTGAATCAATTTGTGTCCTAGGCCTAGCTTCAATCCATAGTTTTTCAAGTTTTATTAAGTTAGGTAGAGACTTGGAAGATTTTTCCAGTCTCGGTTTTTCTTTTGTACGTCTAGATTTTTGGTCTTAAAAATGGTACTACGAAGCCAATTTTTAACTCAATGATATCATCAATTATATTGTCCCTAGGCCTAAGTTCAATGCACAATTTTTTGAGTTTTATTAAGTTAGGTTCATTCCTGGTGTGAATAGAGACTGGGAGGATTTTTCACCTCTCAGATTTTCTTTTGTACATCTAAATTTTTGGTCTTAAAAAGGGCACCGCAGAGCCAAGTTTAAACTCATAGCTTTTAAAGTTTTATTAGTTTTAGTTCATTCTTGGTGTGAATAAAGACTTGAGAGATTTTTCTAGTCTCGGGTCTTTCTATTGTATATCTAGACTTTTTTCTTGAAAAGGGCACAGATACCATCAATGATATCATTTTGAATCAATTGTGTAGGCCTAGGTTCAATGCATAGTTTTTTAAGTTTTATTAAGCTAGGTGTGAACATAGGCTCAAGAGATTCTTCTTGGAAGCCTGGGTCATTTGAACTTCGGACGGTATACTTTAACCACACGTTTCAACATTCGTCTTACCATTTGAGCCACCCGAAGTCAGGTCACAGTTTTTTAAGTTTATTAAGTTGGGTTCATTCTTGCTGTAAACAGAGACTCAGGACATTTTTCTGGTCTCAGTTTCATGGGAAATTGTGGCTTTCTACATGTTGAAGAGAAAAAATCAACTATAAGTTTAATATCCATTGTTTAAGAAATCGAAAATCAGATATTTAGTGGTAATGTAATGTACAGTAGTAAATAACGAAAAGTATTTATTTGTACATTTATATTTTTTAAGTGAAGTTTGGCTGGGTCTACTGCAACTTCACCATTGTAGTAGTATTGTGGACATTACAAGGTTTAACAAAAAAAAGTAGTGAATTTTTGGCATTAATACATTGATAATTATAGCAAGATTATCAGATTTCATAATCCCATAAATCTTCAAGGGTCCTGTATGGGCTAGTTGTTTGGTTGATAAGAAAATCTCCTCTCATAATCTTCCACTCTTCCAAATTGTCAATCTGAATGAGATCTTCATCGTCCAATTTAAGATTGAAAGAAGCCATGTTCTCCCTTATTCTCTCTTGATTGAAGCTCTTCACAATCACACTGGCTCCCTTCGACAATCCCCATTTTAGAGCAACCTGAGCCGGAGTAGCCTTGTGTTTCAGAGCAATGGCTTGGATGATCGGATGTTCAACCACAGCCGTTGATCCCCATGAATTTCCTGGCCCACCCAGTGGTGAATAAGCACTGACGTGGATTTTGTGCTCTCCACATACCTCACGAAGCTTGCTTTGTCTCCACATAGGATGCATTTCCACCTGTATNTTTTTTATGAATGGAGATGTCTGTACCAGTTTGCTCGCACCTCAACTAATCTCTCAAAACTCTGAAATGAACAACCAGGTAAACCCCCTTAGTGGCCACCTTTAATCCCTCGAGACCCTGAAATGAACGATCGAGTGGCCACTCTTATTAATGTTTGAGAGGACTCAAACTCAAGAACCCATGTTAGAGCATTTTGCTCTTTTACTATCATATCCGATGGTTAATTATCAAATGAAATCATGGATCATTAAGTCAACTCTATTTTAATGTCTTCTTTACAGAACTTGTTCTCCAAAAAAAAAAAAAAAATTGGAATTTTGAGAATTTGTTAGAGATTTAATTTTCTTGTACTAAATAAAAAAATTTCTCAAAAATCACTCCTAATAAGAAGGATTTTCTATAGAAAAAAAAAATGATAAATGCTTCTATATATTTGAAAGAAAAATATTTAATGGTCAAAACACTAATTGGCTTTTCAAAATAATTATTTAATGTGATTCCAACTGTTGCTACCTTCCTATTTCTTGTATGGGGCGGCCGTTCGGTTTGAGGTTGAAGGGATTGAGTTTTAAATGTATTTATAGTTGAGCGGTTTTATTTAATTTGGTCAACTTATACCTTAATATAAATTCCCATTTATTATTGTTTTACTTTGCCGACTTATGTTGACTTTTATTTCTTTTGTTCATTAATGAATTGTCAAAATGGACACCCATTTCCTTGTCATGAACTTACTTGCTCTTCGTGCTCTTGTCATTGTCAACTTATTAGCTAATAAAAAGTTAGAAACAAATGGGAAGATACAAATAACCCAACAATTATTTAACATCTCAAATTACTTTTATACGTTTTATATTTGATGATAGTCATCTACATGTTTTTAGACATGATTGTAACATGTTTGATTTTAAATTTATGTATGTTATACTTAAAAAAACTAGGGTTGACGTAAACTTACATCAGCAAGCACCAATCAGAGTTTAGGAAGGCTTGACGTCGTCCAGATGTTACCACATCGACCTAAGACAGAAAGAATATGGATGTCATCAACTTATCAAATTCAGGTTTTGTCTATGAGTGATTAAGAACTGTACACTTGTCCAAGCTCCAGATAATTTAAAGATATTTCCTAAATTATCAGTCAATGGGAGGCAAGGAAGGACTTACAGGACACTTACTCACTTGCAGATTTGTGATTATTACCTTGAATTCCTTTGCTATAAATAGAGGACTCTCCCTCTCATTTTAGGGATTCTGATCTTGAACTCTTATTCCAACAGTAATCTTGATTTTCAGAGCAAAGATAACCTACGAGAAAAAGGCTGGCCCGATATTCTCTCTGAATACCTAGTTATTGTATCTCTGCTCGTTGTTCGCTATACATGACCTCTTGTAATCTCTCATATATAAAAGAAACAGTGAACATAGGATTCGCTTTAAACATCTGAATCACTTTAAAAATTATCTCTCTCATTTATTATTCAGTCTTTGCATTCGATTATATTGATTAGCTCTCTCACAATCATTCACATGTAATTTCTAAGACCTACTTAACACTTTACACGTGCGGGTCATTGGTGCCAAAATCACACATCAATAATATGTATGATATCTAAATAGCACCACACATACAAACTTAGGGTCATAGCTTTACATCTCAACTTAATAAAGACTGAAATCATAAGGAATGATTATTTTAATAAATATGGTATTGATACATTACTACTCTCCATTTTTTATGATAATAGATATTATTCTTATCAATATTTATCCATATTTGCATATTGCAAACGATGTATTATTAACTACCTCTAGATGGTAGAGTGATTCAATAGGTACTCTTGGATATATTACTCAGAAAGTATTGAGTTCGAGTCACTCCTTGGTTGCTACTAGGGGTAACCACTGGAACTCTTATCCGGTCGGTAGTTTTAGGATCCTGAAAGATTAGCTGAGGTGCGTGTAAGCTTGCCTGGACAATCCTAGTTATCAAAAAAAAAAAGAAGTATTATCATATGTGACATTAACATATAATATGATAGTAATATATCATAAAACAACATTTTGAATGTAAAATTTGGAATATATCTTGGAATCAATTTTTTGTACAACTAATAATATTTTGATTTTATAAGCAAACAAAATCTTAGGAAGTTTGAAGTTTTACTTTATAAAATTAAAAACTGTATCTAAATCAGTCTTCTTCTTGTTTAAGTATGAACTGTTAAATCAAATTACTTTAAAAGATTTTAGATTGAATCTAACGTATGTAATTTCAAAGCAAATCCAAGCAAAGAGATTTCATTTGGATTATGAAAATCAAAGGTATAATGTTATAATCAAAATACACATTCTAATTTTGTTAGTCCCAAAGGAATCGAATCCCAGTAGATAATAATAAAAATAAAAAACAAAGAAAAGAAAAAACATGGGTGGATTTGGGAAACAAACGCCAGAATAGATGTCTTGTCAAATAGTGCACCGCCACAGTAGATGATGTCGAGATCTGAAAAATGAAATCAAAAGCCATGTGAAGCCTTTGATTATTGCATGTTCTTATAATCTTGACACTTTTCCGTATAATTACTTGTGTACGTATACTACACCCTTCTTCTCTCATTCCCTTTAAAATATTACAAAGAAAGTCAACTAGTTTAATTGATTCAAGAGCAACTGCAAAGACTGGTTTAGACTTGGGGGTGGTTCCAATAGATGGGGGTTTTGATTATTGCATGTTCTTATAATCTTGACACTTTTCCGTATAATTACTTGTGTACGTATACTACACCCTTCTTCTCTCATTCCCTTTAAAATATTACAAAGAAAGTCAACTGGTTTAATTGATTCAAGAGCAACTGCAAAGACTGGTTTAGACTTGGGGGTGGTTCCAATAGATGGGGGTTNCAGTTTTCACAAGAAGCTGCATCAACACTGAACTGACCTGCTGCTGATAATTATACAGGTGGAGATCTCATTGCGGGGTCAGCCAGTGCTTTCTACACTGCAGCTGAACAACTTAGTGAACTGGTGGGTGCAGACAGCCTCAACATCAGAAAGAATACAGACATCGGTAGGCAGCTCAGCCAAAGATTTTGTGATGGTTCTGTCTTATGGCCGGAAAGCTCAACCCCCATAAACATGTTACAAAAATGTTTACAGCAGTAATAGGGGTTTGGAGGTCTGAGGAGCAACATTTTTCCAAGCATGCCTTTTCATTTTGAAGCATATATGATTTGACCTCAGTTTTTACCATCTCGGATTTCCTTGTTATGTTCAACTTGCTTGTAACGTAGCAAAATATTTAAGGGGAAAGGTGCTAGATTATGATAAATACATACCGAACTCACAGAAAAAAATATACACTTTCTCAACCTTGCTTCAGGTTCTTGATTTCTAGCATTAACAATGTCATAATTCATGCATTGCGGTGAAAACTGGACACCCACCTATCATGATGATACAGTTGAACAGTCATCTAGGATTCCAAGCAGGTTAATAGTTAACATACAACATATGAAAAAATAATACAGTCATTGCTTATGTGAGGTCAAGTTTGGTGTGGTGAATCGTATCGTGGTAGAGTAAAGACATCAGCATCCATTGTGCACAGCAACAAAAAGACATACAAGAGGACGCTCAGATAATGATACAGCCCTATGTAAAGTGACCGAGTCTTCACATGCAAGATGCAACTGTACTTGAAATTTTATACTCAAGTCTCAAGATTCAAGATGCGCTCAACTTTGGTGGAAACATAAGAAGATTCTGATATTTGATTTGCTTTACTTCCACAATAATGAGTTGCACATCGAAAAGTTGATAATTTACCAAAAATTCGGGATGAAGGGATCATCCCAAGTAACACTCCCCACAAATTAAACCCATCATTGCTTTTTGACTCTCTAATCCCAAATCTTATAAAACATAAACTACACCAATATTTGTTAAAACCACCCCAAAGGGTAGTGGATACTGTGATAATATCTATCACAATGATGCTGATTCTCAAGAACAACTGATCACTCAGTATCATAACCTCCCAACTACCAAAACAAGACACGGTACCAGATTAAGCATATTCTTGAACCACTATGACAAGGCAAAAGAAAACTGAAACATGGTAGCTAAAGATACAACTCTGGATAACAATCACAATCAATAATAGACTCTAAACCCTTGAATGCAAGCCAAAAGTTGGTCATAAATTAGATCAACCAACTTCTAATAGATGCAAACATATGATATGATAGTAACATGAACTTCCATAAGTTAATGCCATTTATCACAAATGCCAAATCTTACTACTACCCTTCAATGGGAAAGACCAAAATCTTCATTCTTCATCAAGCCTATTCTCATCCCTCAACAGAGAAGCATGAATCCAATAATTGGCTATATAACAAAGAAAATGCATTTGCGCAAGCTAACAATGAACCCACTTCTATGTACAAACTTCAATTACCAACTAAAGAAGCCAGGATGACATTAAAGATTTCTGCATACAAACTGATAATCTAAAGAACTACAAATTCAAGCCTAGTATAACATACACGGAATCAATTAAGCAGGAAACAATGTAAAATTAATTCTTTTATGAATAGCAACGTGTTCAGTGTTCACTAGACAATATTTAGAAAAATCAAAAACCAGTGTAAGCCCCATGTGGGCTATCATCAAGATCATCAAGCAAAACCCCATAAGGCGACTCTTGGTCATCCATAACAAGATCGTCCGTATTCCTGAATCCCGCATGTAAAATTACCAAAGCAACGCCAATCAACATGGAAACCAGCACATTCACCCACACGTGCGTCAAAACTAAACCCGTTACCGTCACCGCAAAAAGCGCACCCACCACGACACGATCGTCGACAACGAACCCGAAGACCGTCAGCGCGTCGTTGCGCGCGAAGTAGAAGAAGAACCACGCGACAAGCAACAGTAGAAAGACGATTAGTGAGATGGGGTGGTAGATTAGGCTTAAGAAGAGGATCAATAAGAGGATTATAGTGTAATTAACGCGAAAATGAGTGAGGTTTTGGGTAATGCGCGTGGTGGCGTCAGAGAGTGAAAGAGGGAGACTGAATGCGGAGAGGTCAAGGAAGTCAGCCCAAGGGCGACGCCTAGCGGTGAGTGAATGGGTGGTTTTCTTGACTCGAGAGAGGAAGTCGCCGTCGGTGGTTGGGGCAGACATTTTGGTAAGGGTACAGTGGGAGGCCGATCTGACTTATGAGAGAATCGAGTCAACAGCTATTTCTTCAACCGGTCTCGTTTCTCAATGAGAATGCTTCGTGGATTGTGAAGTTTTGAGGGTGTGGGCTGACGTGGGCCAAATTGGGCGGGCTTTGGATAAATAATCCAATCACGAGAATAAATTAATGGATAAAAAAATTATTATTGGTAAAAATAACCAAAAATCCCTAAATTATACACTATTGAATTCCTACAATAAAATTTATCTAAATTCTACCACCTCCTCCAAAATGTAGAATATGCAATACAAAAATTTTAGTCATTATTAATTAATAGTAAAAAATTCAAAATCAAATTATATTTACAAGTCAATAATATACAATCTATCATTTAAGTCCAATATTTTTCTCAAAATATTTGATAAATGACAGAAGTTTCAAATTGATCAACTTAGAGACACTTAACGGTGAAAGTCTGTTAAACTTAACTACAAACAGGTGAAAAATCATATTATATCCCTAAACCATAGTTTCTAAGTTCATGACAATGTAAAAACTAAAAACTAAAAACCTCTTAAAAGACAAAACAACTTATGTTAGATCTAGGAAACATACTACCAACTTCAAGGTGTAACAATTTCACTTTTCCAAAGAAAATTTCGCCTTTTTATAAGTATAAATAAAACCTACGAATCTCTTTAAGATACAATGAAAGATATGCTCGTGTTATGCACAAAACATAAGCATATTAGAGAGATTAAGAAATTTCAAAATAATTCACATCTAATGGTTTCTTCCATAATACCTCAACATTTATCATGTAGCAAGACCAAATATGCAGGCTTACCTCCAATGCTAGTAATTTATCAAATGACCTCGACAACATTACGAAAGAAAAAACAATTGTTATGCCTAAAAAATCAGGGTTGACGTTAGCCTATGTCAGCGAGCACCAATCAGAGTTTAAGAAGGCTTTGCGTTGCCCAGGAGTTGTCACGTCACTCCATGACAAAAGGAATATGGTTGTCATCAACTTGACAGATTCAGGGTTTGTCTATGAGTAATTAAGGGCCACACACATTCAAGCCTCAGGTAATTTGAGGATATTTCTTAAGTTATCAACCAATGAGAGGTAAAAAAAGACTTGTACGGCACCTACCCACTCAGTTGTTGTATCTCTGCTCGTTGTTCGTTATACGTGACCTCTTGTAATCTCTCATATATAAAGGAAACAGTGGACATATGATTCGTTTTAGGCATCCGAATCACTTTAAAAATCATATATCTCATTTATTATTCAGTCTTTGCATCTGATCATAATCATTCACGTGTAATTTCTAAGAACAGCTTAACATTTTGCACATGCGATTCATTGGTATCAAAATCACGCATCAACAACAATAATTAGAAACTTCCAACTACACGGAAAGGACTTAAACAATCAGATTTAAGTAATGAAATACAACAGGAAAGAATTTCCGTTAGCAGAGTTGTGATATGCTGCAATCAAACCTTCACTTCCACAACTCCTTACTGCTCTCGTCCTATTGAAACCTTGATCGGATATATGTCTTCAGCTTTTCAGCAGATGGCCTAATTTTCTCGAGAAATGTATAATATTCATGGCTGTTGAATTTTCTCTGGTGAATAATAGATGGTCAGTTTCTCAAGTGCTCTTGCATGCTTTACCAAATATTTGACAAGCTATAATTCATTATTTCCTCTATGAATCTCCATCTACACTTCTTTCATTTGATGAATCGAACTCTTAATAACAAGTTTTGAGCTTCCCAGTATTCAACTTTGTGATCAAAGTCTTCCAAATGCTGAAAACTGGAAAAAAATTAATAACAAACATGAATGACTTAGTAATAATGAATTTGAAAAGACTGAAACTGAATAAAAAACGTATAATGAACATACATCATCAAATCCAACATCGCATTTGAAATATCTTGCATTAAATAAAAAATTCAGACTGGTAAATTTCCTCAGGAAAGAGGAGACTATCTGAAGTTGGCAGTCCTTTAAACTGCTAACATGTAGATATAAGTCGTTTACATTAAGACAGACCGAAAATTCTTTCTGAACAGAAACTGGAAAACCAGAAAACACAATGAACATTGGTTAGAACTGAGTACACATATTGATCAACATATAAAAACGACTAAAAATGGAACTTCGACAGATAGATTTCTGCTAAAGATGGTTCTGTTTTTAAGAAATTTCAGCCATCACTCCATTTGTGATTAGAACTTGGACCATATTGCTTTAATTACCCATCCCTTAATACAGTTATTTTCGGTAAAGTATACTCGATTGTCTTGATTCGGAACCCAAGAAAGAAAAAAGTTTGGCACGCCTATCTTATTTGGCCAACTTATGCCTTTTCCTGAAATCATCTCCCAGCAGGGCCAATACCTCAGAATTAATGTACACGTCAAAAAACGATGCACATAAGTCTCTGCAATTTCGTGAAAAGTACTAAATTGAACAGTGTATTTCATGTCCTGATAGGAGAGGATCTGGTGATTGATAACGTCTGGAAGATCAACAATGCTTCTGGCCTCCATGGCTCTGATCACACTCTTTAAGATAATGGGAAGGAAGAGCTTTTGATTGACAGTGGCAATGTACCAGGATCCGATCTTATCTCTCAATAAGAATTTCTAGAATTCATCTCAGGATGATAACCCTTTCTGACTCATTGAGCCTGTGACTCGATTTTTCGTGCTTTAACTCTCTAGCATGGTGTGGAACTTGGGAGGCAGAGTGAATAGGGAGATTCGAACGGTCACCCGTCGGATTCGACGTTTGACTAAAGTTGACTTAATGAATACCACCTTTATGATGATGACCAGTTTAATACATGTAAATGTGATTGCAAAATTCAAAAATATAATATTTAAACCAAGATTTTGAATGACTTTACCTTCAATTCCTTGTCAATTGGAGAAGAAACTTATGTATGTTTATATTGGAAAGGATAAGCATTGTCTCATCATTCAGGTTTTTACAGGCAGCATGAGCAAAGCAAATATAAAGCAAAACAGCAAAAGGTGTTCTTGAGGTTCCAAATGCATAAGATCCATGTTCACAGCAAGCATGTCAGTAATTTTATTGACGCTGGCATGTATAAAACCATTCACCATTCACAAGTCGAGTTCATAAGTCCCAGGAAGTGAAACTGGTCCAAGGATTTCACCTTCTATGCTAGCAATGAGTGCAAATTCCCTCTCGACAGTCCCCGTTTTCTCAATCCAACTCACTCCAAGCACCACGAAGTAGACCACTATACCATTATTTATCTTTGCATGTGTGTTGCCATTTAAGAAATATGGATTTTCTTCAGAAACATAGGAGTAACCTGGCATCTTCAAAACTGGAAGAAAAGCATATTTCAGAGGCCCAATTCGTAAGAAGACCCCTTCTCGAGATGTGTAGTGAACGACTCCCTGTAGGAAATCTCCGATGACAGGCTTAAAGGTGCGACATTTAAATGTTACAGGGAAGGATGCATACCCTGACTCGTCCAATACTTGTCCTTTGTCAATGTTCTTCAAGCTAGTTACTGCAAGAAAGTATCCATGCTCCTTGCTGGCCTTTTCATTCAACAAGTCCTCCATCAGTTGTGTTATAAGATACCTCGGACAAACCAATAGTTCTCCATCTGAATTTGCAGGACATGCAATCACATTCCTTTGCAATTCAACTTCAGAAATCATATCTGTGATCTACATCAAACTTGCCAGAATAAATAGGATTAAAAAGAAGAGTTTGCGAAATTAATCAATCACAATTCTCTTAGATTGTATGCGGCTCATGGCATCTAATTATTATAACTCTTCTTAAATAATTTAAATTATAAAATATTTGAAGTCTTGTTTTATAATCGTGCTTAAAAAAACTTAAAACATAAAGGAAGAACCTAAGACTAATCTGGATTAAACTATGACAACTTTGCTAGCCTGACCAACCCTGCCGCTACTTCTTTCTTCCACTAAAGCAAGATTCGTATACGCATCACATATGTGATTCACTAATGACAGGCTTAAAAAGTCAATACAAATATGCTACACAAGATACAGAATTAACTGGGAAAAAGAACTTGGCTTAAAGCATGATACTTAGAGCAATTCTATATATAAATTAAAATAATTAAATAGTAATAATAACAGAACCTGGCTATAAGAAAACTACTCCAGGTAATAAACTAAATCTTCCAATCAAATAGATAATAAACTAAATCCTGTGAAGGCTACGACCACAATATTGCTTGTAATTACTGTAAATGACCTTATCGAGAAAAAAAAAATTGTTTTGAATCACAAAACATCGGAACTATTATTGTATATTGAACATTCTTTAGGAAAGGGTATGACAGAAATATGATCTAAAGGTTTTTTTTGGGGAAATTTGCTATCTGTTACGCATCGAATAAGGATACGGAATCGAAAAAGAGTTTTGTTTGACAAAATTCATCTGATTTAGCCGGTAATTTAACATATATCTAAGGCGAGATCAATTAGCATTTCGAAAGTTCTTTTCTTACCGGTTGAAGTAATTTTCTTATAAGTAGCAAGGAAAGTATTTTCATGCCAACCAAACAGTAGTCAAGATATTCTTACTTATCAAATCCAAATTCCACAAAGTTTACAGAAAGACAAGGGAGAAAAGGCATGTGTATGAGTCACTCTCGAAAACATTGGAACATTAACCAAGCCTGCATATCAAATGATTTTGAAAGGAATGATTAATTCTATCAACATAACTTTTATGACTATGGTCATTAAACAGATTTATTTCAAATGCCCTTTTCATGCAGCATCTAGCACAACAGTATACACCCAGAAACAAAAAAGCGTTGGCTTGAAATTCTTTAGTTACAAATCTAATTGGATGAGTGAAACCAAATAACACAGCAAATCCAAACTTTCAACAACTAAATAAAAAAATAAAAAATACGAACTGAACAACTAAAAACTCAACTTCTGAACAACAGATGTCATCAGAGCAAATTCATAAATCCATTACAGCTTACAGTGTAAAACCTGTAATCAGATCAATAATAGAAAAGAGTAGAATCATAAAAAGGCATAAGAATTGAACCTGAAAACTTGAAGCAGCACCGCAGAGAAGAAGGGTGAGTAGAGTGGGGGTTTTGATGAGAGAGATCTGCAGTGGATCCGAAAGAATAAAAGGAAGCGTTACTGACATCTTCACTCCATTTTCTCTACGTGTCTGAATCACATTAACAAAAATGGCAATCTTGCATGTAGAGTTTTGTCTTCATATGATATCTTTCGACGGTTTTTTAAAGTTTATAAGTCAGCAGGGTTTAAGGGCTTTTTTGAATAAAATAAATAAATAAACTATAAAATAATTCCTAATCTAGATATTTATATAATGATGAAGCATATTGCTTTTTCTGATGTCACGTAAGATTGGTATATAATCATCAGGTAGGATATCGTTAATTGATCCATGTGTTTGCTATTTATTATGCTTGTTATAATAGAAATTATTCACATGCATTCAATTAATTTATTCAATACAAATTTTTAATATTCTTCTTTTAATTTGAGATCTTTCACATTCTTTTTTTAATATTTATATAATATTGAAGCATACTGCTTCTTGTGACGTCACGTAGGATTGATATATGATCATCATATAGGATATCGTTAATTGGTCCATGTGTTTGCTGTTTATTTGGCTTGCTATAATAGAGATTATTCACATGCATTCAATTAATGTATTCAATACAAATCTTTCACATTCCTCTTTTAATTTAACTTAACGACAAATAAAATTATTTGATTTATTTAATAATTAGTCTATTTTTACAATATTTATAGTAATTAATTACGAATCAAATAATATTTTTTTTTATAAACTAAAATATTATAATTAAAAAAGATATAAATTATACACCTATAATCAAAAACAAAGAAGGATTAATTCAGTGATCATAAAAATTATAAAATCAGGATTAATATTGTTATATTTTTTAAAACGTATTATTGATAATATAGCATATTAAATCCATATATATCCATACCATATTTTTTTCGTATCTGAATTTTATGACTAAATTTTTACAAAAGTATTTTTTACCATTTACCGTATCATACCCGTAAAATTCTTGTACCCTTTTTTTGTCGTACCCTTATTTACTAACTAGGGTTTTAAAATCCCGGGATATTAGTTGAGGACTTGAGATACGCATAAGCTAGCCTAAACACCTTTGCTTATTAAAAAAAAAATTTTGTAGGCATTAAATTTATATAAGCAAATGCTTTTCGTATAAACCTAATAGAGTAATATTAGGTCAACAACTCATTTTCACAAACCTCTTTTATAACCCTAACGTGTCAACAGATTAACACTGTCACGTCTTCTTCTTCTTCTTCTTCTACCATCATTCCTTAAAAGAGAACGATCGTTTCTTTAGTCTAATCAAAATCATTTCCGTCTTAGATAGTATTGTTCAACCTTACATCTCGTTTACTTTAGATTACTGAGTTTTATCTTTGAATAAAATGTCAAAAATTACCAATAAAAAACAATATAATGAGAAAGTGAGATTACTATTTTAGATTATATTATCTTCCAAGTGAGAAATCCAGATTGAATTATGAGGCAACATTAAGAGGGTAATCATAAATGAGTCCACATCCACAATATCATAATGCGAGTTTGAGGATTTTAATTATATATAAAATTCCATTACTTTACCAAATAATAATGAAAGAGAAGAACAGAGGAAACCTAGCACATGATCCAATCATTGAATGAGTCGATTTCTCTTTATATCTCTTCATGATTAAAATGATGTGTTACAAATTCTTAGTGGATTCCTGCTGCTGCATGCTACCAATGAAGTAAAGAAAAGCTGAATATCAAACCTATGTATGAAGATTTTGTGATGAGCGGTCATCGCATACTTCACAGTCTGTTTCAAGTTTCAACTCTCTTCTTTTTGTCGTGGATAAATAAATGATGCCGTTATCATTTTTCTTGGATTTTTGTTGTGAACTGTCTTCATTGGATGGATCATTAAGTGAAATTTTTCATCATCATTCGCCATATCAGACCTGGATTCTCTCTTTCATAATCAAGTAAAAACAAACGACGTTGGTAGCATGATCGGATCAGAAAAGAAGATTAAAAAGTTGGGAGGAGGAGCCCACTTTAACTCAGAAAAGAACATGGCGCTGGCGCCCTTACAAAGTTTCTCATTTCAATGGCGCCCGCTGATCATGGCAGTAAAGGGGAAGTTGATTTGTTGATGGATGAGAATGAATGAATACGCAGAAAATGAGATGGAGGATCAGTCAGCATCAAATTTTAGCAAACCACATGGCTTTCTCAGCCCCCATATGTGATGTTTTTTTTACCTCCCCTTGTCTCTAAATTATCAGACTTCCTTGCTTATTAATTTGCCTGCCTGTATTTGTGGTATCGTACTAGACAAATATTAATTGTTTCACAAATTTATATTTATGGTATTAACTTCAAATTTAAAAAACATTAAGCAATGTTTTCTCTATTGAGGATAAGCTTAATCTGGAACCTAACACAATCACATTTCCCTCAACTTTGTTCAATGATTCCGAAAGTGGAATGAACAATTAACCACTAACAGTTTCATTCAATTATTGTTTCAATGAGTTGATCACTTAACAATTTTATAAAACTGTCTGCCCAACCAACTGATAATTTATGTTGGTTGGAGGAGAAGTTCTGATGTCTTATTTTGGGGTATTCACTAGATACTGGTCTGGTGGCTACACAATCACTATCCATAATGTTTACTGATATGTATGCTGGATAAGCTCAACTATATACCCTATTTAGGGTTTTGATTAATTATTGGTGAATATGCACCTGATCACACATTGCCCTCTTAAATTACAATCACTATCGTTTACAAATTTTCCCCATTGCCCTTTCTGCGCCCCTCTGAATCACATGCTTTATCATAAATGTCACACTGTACTGATGAACTCAGAAGTCTAATTAATATATACTACTTGGTTGCAGAGAAGTGTCGGTGAGAGTTGTTGCTTGATCGATCATTAAGTTTTAATTTGACTAATGTCCCTTATGAACAGTTGGTAGAGGTGTACTTAATTTAGAAACGGCCCAATTTCCACAAAACATGCAAGAAATTCTGGGTAAGCAAAGGTCAAGAAAGAACTTAATTGTATATGATGATGATGATGATGATCGTCTTATCCACCAAGTTAGACAAATAATAATGCTGCAACAGCATTTGGCGTGGTGCATGTTATGTTATGATTTGCAGGCATGACCATGTAGCTTCTGTCAAATTAATGGCTCATATACATTATCAAACTATTGGCTGAAAATGAACTCACCATGGTCGACTGGGTTTAATTGAATTTGATGAATTCCAGAGATCACCGGCTCAGAATTCTCAGATGAGGGCATTGAGGGTCAATTTTGTAGGGCCTATTAGGCAAGACTCTAAGGGAACAAAACTCACATGGGAGAACGTGCCATTCCAAGATAAAAATCTCCACGTCATCAATCTAGCGCACAGTACCGACTTCCCATGTGGGCATTCAATCTTAAAGCTTCTACAAGTTCTCAGATTTTCAAAAGAAAAAATTAATGTTAATAGGTGTAACCATGAGAATTGAGAAATCGGCATAGCTCCACGTCCTGCATTCTGTTTTTCTGGGTTCAAGTTCCCGCGAGATCTGCATACGTGCTTTTCATATACAGTGTATATATATATATATATATATATATATATATATATAAGCCTTTTAATGAATCTTACTGTTAGAGTAACACAATTAGTTACTTGAAAAGTGAAGTGAGGCACAGTGAATAAATGTTGATTCTTTTAATGGTTCGTAAGAAAAGAAGAGTTTTGAATAAGGTTTTAATGGTGAGATAGATCAGTAGAACATGATATACATGTCTACAATCAATTATTTCTGGCAGATTGGCCATCCTTATTCATCAGCTGTAAAATTTAATAAGTTGAGAAAGTGGTTCGAATCCAAATCTAAAAGAATTTTAAGGACTTTCCTGAATTGAATATAAACAAATCTTGGATCAGAATTGTCTGCTCCATGAAGTGGTTTCAACTGAGACTCTCTGCATTTTGGGCACTAGTGGGAATTGGCAGATTCGGGTGCTTTCAATGATTCATTATTAAGCAAAGAATGGGCAAACCACATCAGGATCAATGGTAANTTTCTATTGGGTAATTCTGGACAAAGAGTGTTAATTATTACATCCCTGTTTTGGTCTTAAACGGTGGAGGTTGATTTTGCTTGTTTGGTTCAAATTGATCGGGTCTATTTGACTTTCTTTTATCTTTATTTATGTGTGTTATAATGAGTTTACGTGAATAGGTGTGTCTCTTTTGATATGAGAATTCTTTTCTTTCTTGGTTTTCTTTTGGGAGTGGAATATCCTTCAACAGAAGAATAGTATTCTTCTCTTCAAAGTTTCATTTTTCTGGTGTGCCTTATGTTTTAAATATCTGTATTTGATTCTTGTTTTGATGTATCTGCCAGTTCTCTGAATGTCTTCAGGTTTCAGGTTTTTTTGTTTGTCCATTTCTGTTCCTCTGTTTTTGAGCTGATCTAGTTTGACTGTCTTCTCTTCGGCTAAAACTAGTTTTGATGATCGGATCAAAAAGCTTCCCTTTTCTTCATGTTGTAATTCAGTTTATCATTTCATGACATGATCAAGTTATTTTTTTTTCTGATCACTGAGTATGCGGGATGTGTTTTACTTGTAGGTTTGAGGCTTGAAGTCTGCTGATCATACAAAACCTACCTAAGGTAGATATTTTGTTTAAGATTCTCAGTCGGCAAAACAAGTTTGGTATCAAATTAAAGTTCATATTATAAGTGCTATTTTGGATCAATGGTGAAAAGTAATAAAATTGACTTTTATGTAAACATTTTATGTTCCAGCTATTTAAATCTTCCCTTTCTGCAAATCTTGGGCACTGCAAAAGCTGGCAGTGCCCATGGACGCTACAACGAGTGGCACTCCAAGTATTCAATACCATAACATTCCTGATCAGCCGATTACTGCTATTGTGGTTGCTCCTGTACCAACATTTCAAAGAAATCAACGGCATTGCTTTGGGGACTCCACTCCCGGAGAATTTCCCTTGGCTGCCAATCCCTCCATTGTGCTTCATGTCCTGACGGCCTGTAATTTAGATCCTCAAGACCTTGCAACACTAGAGGCAAGTTGCAATTTCCTTTATCTTTTTTATAATGAAGCTCTTTGTATATAATAGAATTGATAATGCTGCTGACTTGATTTTCAAATGTGTGTGTTGCAGGCAACAGGCTCATTCTTTAGGCAGCCAGCAAACTTTGCCCCTGACTATGAATTGTCCATATCGGAGCTTGCTGCTCTGGACATGTGCCAAAAGAGAGCT